GCGACAACCCTGGCCACATGTACTCCACCTTCGGCGCCGCGGTTGTCAAGTTCGGCCTCTTCATCGGTGTCCTCCTTTCCCTGGTCCCCCCCGTCAGCGTCTTCCCCCAGTACCACTGCTTCGGAGAGTGCGCAGGGGCCGCCCTCTCTCTCAGCGACGTCGCATGCCAGCGGGGGCCATGGTGGTGATCCGACTCTGCGTGTTGGCTCTACTCGTGCCTCCCGTCCTGGCGACTCGAACTGGCTCGCATCAGAGGCGCCAACTCATTGGCACGCCCCGACCGCGTGCGAGTCCAAAATCGATCGTCTCTTCGTCGCATCCCCTCCATGGCTTCTTTGTCAGTCTGCCCAGCTTGTTTCTGTCCGTGATGAACCGCGAGAATTGGCCCGCCGGGGTATTTCTGATCATTCGCCTCTGGAGATCACCTGGCGCCCTCGGGATCACGTTCGTGCGAAACGCCAACGGCCCCTTCCTCGTTGGGTGTACAAGGATAAGATTTACGCTCAGCTGGTCTCCCACATGGAAGCCCAGGTTCAGATTGATGATCTCGCCTTTGACCCTCCGCGCATGCTCGCTGCCGCTACCGCTGTGCGTCAGGCTGCAGGTCTTCTCGCTCGCAATGCCATCTGTCGTGCCGCACCATCTTCTCTGGCTGTTCGGGCTATGATTTCTCGTTCGATTGCACGGTGTGTTTGGCGAGGTGATGTTCGCCTTGCCCGTGCCCTTCTCTTTCAGCACCCCTGGACACAGGATCTCATACGCGTGGAAGGTGAGGTGGTTTCTTTCGTTGACCCAGGTGGCTTTCATGATCTCCATAGTCTGTGGCAACAGCAGGAGGCAGCATCTCGTCGGAAGGCGTTAGAGTCAGAGCTCAACCAGTCGTCGTCCACCACTGTCAAGGCTCGTCTCGCAGGGCGTCGTCGTGCGCTCATTCGGTCTGCCCAGTTATGGAATCCGCTCTCAAGACGTAAGTACTGAGCGTCGGTTGCGGCCACGGAGATGATTTCGATATCAGAGATGCTGGCGGGTGGCTCCCTGGCATCGGAACCAGTTCCTCCTTCCCAGGCCCCGATGGTGGACGCCCTGGCCTCGTACTGGGGCCCTGTGTTCTCCAAAACCCATACGGCCCCCTCCCTCGCCCAGAAGTACATCGACCCATTTAGCAGCTCGGGGGATTTCACAGAGGTTCGGCCACCCGTCCTCCGTGATGTGGAGCGCGCACTTGAACAGTCGAGCTGGTCCGCCCCTGGCCCCGATGGGCTTCATTACGCGGCCTGGAGGTGTGGATCGAGGGCTCGGGTTCTTCTTGCGGTTCTTCGCTGGATTGCTCTTGGGAATCTCATGCCATCCAACTTCACGGCGTCGCTCGCAGTCTTCCTCCGCAAGGGCCCCAAGACCCCTTCTCATGATCCTGGTGATGGTGGCGTTGTTCGGGCCCCTGGTGATACCCGCCCGCTAGGTCTCAAGAACTCCTCGAACAATGTACTGAACCAGACCCTTAGCTTGGTGACGCAGAAGATTGGGGCCCCATCTCAGCGGGGCGTTATTCGGCGGCGCAACTTTCTGGATAACATTGTTGACCTGGACCTTTATGCTCGTTCGGCCAGCATGATGGCTGCTGTATCATCCCATGCCCCTTCGCTGATCGCGTTCGACTTCGCCCAGGCTTTCCCGTCGGTCTCCCAGGACTGGCTCTTACAATGTCTTGCTCGACTTCGCCTTCCAGCCCCACTGGTTTGCGCCCCCCGCCCCCTATGCCACTGCTCCCCTTGTTACTTCGTTGGCGACTCCCCGACGTACCTCTACCACATGAACTCTGGGGTGCTTCAAGGCTGTCCGTTGAGCGGCTCGCTGTACGTCGTCGCGAACAACCCGTTCCTCCTGGACCTGGAACCCTGCTTGGTCGCGCGTGGGCGTCTTCTGGGTGTCATTCGGGCCTGCGCGGACGATCTTGGGGCGGCCCTCTTCCACAACAGAGCGTATCCCCGTTTGGCCCGAGTATTTCGTCATGCTTCTAGGTTTGTTCAGCTACGTCTCAAGCCAGCGAAATGCACTGTGATACCTCTTCGTGATCTCTCTATGCTCGAACATGGAGTCATACTTCGACGCCAACTTGTGTTTGCGGACCCGACCTGGGCCGATTTCGCGATCGTTCCCGCGTGCACTTATCTTGGCTTTCATATTGGCCCTGGCGCCACCGATGACAGTCAATGGGCGACACCTGTACTCAAGCATGCTACTCGCACCACCGCGATCTCGACGCAGGGCGCTGATCTCCCCACGGCTGCAACACTGTATCGACAACGAGCTGCCCCCACGCTGTCTTATGTGGCCCAGCTGGTTCCATTACCCTGGCGAGTCGGGCAACAGCAGCGGTTCCTTCTCGCCCGCCCCATGCGCACACCCGCCAGCATGTTACGGACCGCTGACTGCTTCGCCCTGCACACTGTGAGTGGCCCTAAGTTCGTCTCTATCTTCTGTATCGCTGCTGCCGCACGACTCCGTGCGGCTTTGGTCACGCGTCTGACCTGGCGCTCTCAGCTGCAACGACATCGAGAACTTCTCTGGGAACATGGCACGGTCTCTCAGGCCACCAGTGCTACCTTGGCCCCGAGCTTCTGGTTAGCGCCACCTTTTGCCTGCCATTTGGAAGAAGCCCGCGTTGGGCTTTCCGTCGTCGACGCAGCTGAGAACTGGTGGGCAAATGGTTTTGAGCCTCTGGCGTGCAGGGAGCACTTCCATCCCCGAGGGGGTGATCGCGTTCTTTCGCGCTGAGCCCAACCCCACGACTCTCCCATGGAGCCTTGCCCGTCGCGTTGCAGTACCATCCGCACTTGAAGCTCACGCTGCAGCACTACTTCGAGCCCCCAAGTGGCAAACCGCGTTCACCGACATCTTCCAGCGCGTGGTCTTTCCTTACCGATTTCTGGAGCTACTCGCCCTTCGAGTCCAGCGGTACTTTGGGATTCATGATGTTTGTTGGCCCACAGTCCTCGCTCAACTACATCTTATGCCAGCATCTTGGGCATTCATCTGCGTGCGGTCGTTCCGCGGAGGATGGATCACTCACCGCCGCATGCAGCGTGAGGCGTGGTGCATATATGGCTGCGGCGGTCCAGACACGATGCGGCATTATCTTACCGAGTGTGGTCGGTGCTTTCACTTTGGCGCACTCACTCTGCGTGAGGATCTCCCAGTCGAGATCGGACATCGACTGGGATTACGAGGACCGACTCCAGCTGCTCTTATAGCCTGCTATCACCACTATCGTTTGATGGCAGCGCGGCACCTTACTCCTCCATCCTATGCTCGCGCTCGCGAGCTGGTCGCTGCGGCGCAGATCGCCCTGAGGCTCCCACTGCGTGGTCGGCGACAGCTGGCTCTTTTACGGCGATCCACTCTACGTGAGTCCCTCGTGGCGGCTCGCCGATACTGTGCGTTGGACGACCCCACCTGTGAGGCGCGGGGCATGGAGGTGGCACCGTGCCCGTGGGCTCGGTCATTGCCTTCGTCGGCGACCTCAGAGCTGTGCGTTGATGCCGACGGTGGAGATGTTCTGGTGGATTGTCAGGTCCCTTCTTTCTCCGAGGAGGCCCCTTCCGTGGTGGCGCCATCTTCGCCCTCTTCTCGGGAGTGTCTGTCGAGCTTGGGGTGTTCTCGATCTAAGATGCCACCGTCGGTCCTAGTGTGTCTGCCGAGCCCCTGGAGTCCACGAAGCCAGATGTCAGCACAGGTCCAGAGAGGGTGTCCTTCGACAGGGTCCTCATGGCTGCCGCCACGTGAGTCCTTGAGGGAAAACAATGCTGCTTCGTCGCTCGCATCGCCCTCGCCATCTCTTTCGTTGTCTTCTCATGCGCTCCCCTCTGTGCATGGACCTTCTCGCGATGTCGAGCTCATCTCCTTTTGCTTTGTTGACTATGACATGCCGCGTGATCTCGCGGGGATCAGAGTGCGTACGGCTGAGGAGCAAGCCTCTTTTACAGGCCCGTCCCAGGCAGCCTCTCTGTTGGGGTCTGCTCCCTCTCTTTTTCGTTCTTCTCGTCCCGACGTCCCTGCTCCTGCTGTTGCGTGCCCTTCCTTCTCTCCTCTCCTTCCTGAGGTTACGAGCCTCCGATCTGGCGCTCTGCAGCCATGTCCTGAACAGGGTCTCGCGCCATTCCGATCGTTCCGTTCTTCTCTGTGGTCTTGCTGTAGCGACGATGCTGATGGTGCTCCTGGGACCCCTTCTCTCTCCTCGCGGCCGATCGAGCCCTCTCCTCTCGACCTCATTGGGATCCCTGCGTGCACTCAGCTCCCGCCGCTTCCGCTCGCCTGCACGGTGCCGCCCAACAGCACTCTGCCTGCGACGTCGACGATGAGGGTGTCGCCGTCGGTCTGCTTGGCCCTGTCGTTTCAGTGTCCCCTTGTGCCACCGATGAGCGACGACTCCATCGCCCAGGCACCCGCGGCGTGCTCTCTCAATGGACCTTCTCGCGATGTCGAGCTCATCTCCTTTTGCTTTGTTGACTATGACATGCCACGTAATCTCGCGGGGATCAGAGTGCTTACAGCTGAGGAGCAAGCCCCTTTTACAGGCCCGTCCCAGGCAGCCTCTCTGTTGGGGTCTGCTCCCTCTCTCCTTCGTTCCTCTCGTCCCGACGTCCCTGCTCCTGCTGTTGCGTGCCCTTCCTTCTCTCCTCTCCTTCCTGAGGTTACGAGCCTCCGATCTGACGCTCTGCAGCCATGTCCTGAACAGGGTCTCGCGCCCTTCCGATCGTTCCGTTCTTCTCTGTGGTCTTGCTGTAGCGACGATGCTGATGGTGCTCCTGGGACCCCTCTCCTCGCGGCCGATCGAGCCCTCTCCTCTCGACCTCATTGGGATCCCTGCGTGCACTCAGCTCCCGCCGCTTCCGCTCGCCTGCACGGTGCCGCCCAACAGCACTCTGCCTGCGACGTCGACGATGAGGGTGTCGCCGTCGGTCTGCTCGGCCCTGTCGTTTCAGTGTCCCCTTGTGCCACCGATGAGCGACGACTCCATCGCCCAGGCACCCGCGGCGTGCTCTCTCAAGGCGGAGGGCAGCGCGAGAGACAGGGGAGGTGGTTAGGAAGTTGACGGATTCCTCCTGTACGCTTTGCCTCCTCCTCCACCTCCTCCCCCCCCTCCTCCTCCTCCTCCTCCTCTCCTCCTCCTCCTCCTCCTCCCTCCTCCTCCTCCTCCTCCTCCTCCTCCTCCCCCCCCTGTCGTTGGCGTGCCGCCGCCCGCTGGGGGCGGCCACGACGCTGGGCGCCTTGCGAGTGGCCCTTGCGGGCCCGCCCGCGGGGCGCGGACCGCCGAGGTGCTCTGCCGCTCCGGCGGCGAGTCGCCCCAGGCCTCCCCGAGCCGAGGCCGGCCGCCCCCGCAGGGGGGGGTCGGGCAGCGGCGAGGCGTCCTGTCACCGAACGCGTGCCACTGCTCGCAAAGCGCCTGCTCGCAAACGTATTAAAAAAACATGCCTGCTTCGGTGCGTTTTATCGTAGACCCTCCGCGGGCCATTGGCGAGCAGTCACTCTGCGAGTAGTAGAACGCCCTCGTCTATCCTGGTTTGCACCAGGGAAAGTCGGCCACGCGCAGAGGGGGGGTACGGGGGAGGGGGGAAGGCTTCTTAGAAGCGCCCCTGCTTCTCAGCAGGCGCGGGCCTTCTCTGTAAGTGCAAGGCCGGCGCCTTTTAAGAAGCAGCATCCCCAAGACGCCTCCCCCCCGCCCCCTACCCCCCCGTGCGCGCCGCCAAGAATCGGTCGGGACCCCCTTGGTGTAGACCTGCAATCTCAGACGGTACGCTTTTTCACCCCAGCGGTTTTCCCACAAGTTCGGCCTGCGGTAGCGGTATCTGTGATAAAAAGTATCCCCCTTGGGAGGGGTCGGGACTTGAGACGACCGCGCACTGGAAGAAGCCGATCGTCTGATGTCTGGGAATCGGATTCCCAGGTGTGGGTTCCAGGAGCCTTGCGGCCAGCAGTTCTGGCTCAGCGTGTCGCCTCTCCAGCTCTGGCCCTCCACGCCGCGGCGCGACACCCTGACCATTCGAGCAGCGGCGACGCGTCCTGACTTGCTTATCGGCCCACCAAATAGTGTCCGAGTAATGTGTTGTGGTCTGTACGGAGTGCTCTCAGAACATCTCTGGTTGGCGCTGTCTTGCTTCTGCACATCGGCAATCTGTTCTAAGAGGTTGATGGCCTTTTTCGGATCTGTCTTGGCTCTGGGAACATGTCGTTGTAGGCCCACAGGGATGCCGGGTCGGTCGGTCCCTGCTCAAAACCACGTTTTGCGAGCCCCCGAGCGTCAGCGTCCCGAGCTCTCCTCCACCCCCCCGCCCCGCGGATGCGGAGCGACGCGCTGCCCGCCTGCAGGTGCGCACAGCTTGTTCCGCCAGGGCCGCCGCGGCACGCTGAGCAGAGCCGGCCGGAGCGTGCCCTCGCGACCAGTGCGCCATGGGGGAGGCGGGTCCTGAAACAAAAACAAGCGGCTCCTGAGTTTTCTCGCCGTTTTCGAGCTATCGGGGCCCTCCAAGGGCCCTGGATTTGCAGGGAACCACCCACTCGGGAGGAGGGGCTAGTCCTGGGGGAAGGCCCCAGTGTCCAGTGCCCGTTTCCCTCAGGATTCTGTTTCCCCCCTGCTAACCAGTCGTGCCTGACAAGTCTTATTGCCAGTTCATCGCATTCGCTCACGCTCATGGCCTGTCTGGCCGCCGTTCGTCCTTTCAGCTTTCCGCCTTCTTCTCCCCCAGAAAGGGGTGATCGGATTTCAGTTGGATTCCATCCGTGCGTTTTCCGTTCTTGTCGGTTCCCCAACGGTTTTCTCTAGCCTCGGGGTGCTCTCTGGGGGAGGATTGGGTTTCGGTCGGGTTCCACGCGTTTTCCTGGCCGTCTCGCCCGTTTCCCGAATGCTTCCCAGCCTGCGGGTGCTCTCCAGCTCCGTCCCGTCGAGAGCTTCTCGGGGGTGTCTGGACCGTCGGGGACGGCCGCTGGAGGGCCGATTCATTACGACCCGAAAGCCAGCAGGTGTCTTGCATGGCCCACTTCGATGTGGCCGCTCCGGTCCGAGTCGATTCTTATTGACCAGCGGTCCGAGGCGGCCCGAGGCTCGCATGGCGCCGTGGTGTACCGGGGCGCGGCCGATCCGATCCGCTTTCGGGATGCAGCCAGATCGGATACTCGTTCTGACCCGATCCGATTTTCACAGGCGATGTCGTTATTCCACCCCCGGGCTTGTCCTGGGCATCGCTCGGACGTGTGCATTTTTCCTTCGGCGAGGACCATCGAGGAGCATCCTTGATCATTTGGCGAAAAAACCACGCACGAAACCGATAAACAACCACAGGGAATGGACGTCCGAGCGATGTCGAGTGTCGACGAGAGACGAAGCGACTAAGGAGGGGAACCCTGGGATGCCTCCCCCCGGGGGCCATTCGGGCGCACCCGCATCGGGGGTGGACGCCCCCGCCTCGTACATCCCAGGGTTGGGCCCCAGCTCTTTGGACCATTCGAAGGCCTCCCAAAGCTTGGGATGGGGGCCAAATATTCACCAGCTTCGAACTGATCCCTATCCCCAAGATTGACACGACAAAAGGCGACGACAATCTTAGGGACTCGCCGTCAAAAAATCAGGGAATCCCGAAGATTGGCATCGTGATGAGGAGATGCCCAGCATAGGGATAGGGAGATGTTCCAGGCTGGTAAAATATCCCCAGTTACACATCCTCTTTCGACGATGGCTGATCCTGCCCATCTCCGCCTTGCGCCGGGACCCGTGGCGGCGGTGGTGGCGTCGGCGAGGGCGTGGAAGGGGAGGGAGGGGCCCAGACATCCACGCGCAGCACGTTGGATCCAGGCATCCATCGTCCAATGTGCTGCGGCCCAACGTCCAGACGTCCAACGTTCAGGTCCAGACATTGGATCTAGACATGCAGCCAGGTCCAGTGTGATCTGGACGTTGGATCCAGACATCGAACGTCCAGATCCAACGTCCATCTAGAAAACTCCTTGCAGAGGTTATACTCGCAGTTTTTGGCCTCCGGGGCCCATCGCAGGGCCCAGGCCCGTCGGGAGGAAGACCCGGGGCGGGGAGCTGGCCGCCCAAGGGAAGGGCCTGGGCTTCTGGGGGCCCCGCATGGCAGCAGTCGGTCCATCGGATCCCTGGGGAAGGAGGGGGGGAGGGAGGGACCGAGGTGGGATCGGGAGCGAGGGAGCGAGGGAGCGAGGGAGCGAGGGAGCGAGGTGGGATCGGGAGCGAGGGAGCGAGGGACCGGGCGGGGCCAGGTCGGGGGTAGCTCGTCCCAGAGCGTGCCGGGACGCTCTCAGAGCGTCCTGGAGCGCTTTGGAAAGGCCGCGGCGCCCGATGTATGTTCCAGAACCGCCAGTTCTCAGAGATCTCCGATCCGATGTTGCCCCTGTCCTTCCGAACACAACGAAGAACCACAACCAGAACTGAAGCTCGACATGAACATATTTGTGTTGTGAAGCCCGACACGGGCGTAGGGACAACGACCCCGCTCCGAAGGGCAGCGGTCTCTGCCCTGCGGCGTGTCCTCGTGGGTCTCCCATCTTGCTCTCTGGCTGCCGTTGTCCTGCGGCGGTCTGTGTATGCCTCGCTTGCTGTTGCGCGCCTTACTTAAGTCGGAAAGTATGGTGTTCTCGGAGAGGCCTCGGGGACCGTCTGCCGCGGGGTCCGCGGGCAGTGCAGTGTATTGTCATTTGCAAGGGGTAACACGAGGCACCGCGCAAGTCTCGCGAGCAATTTCAATCTCTTTTGCATCTCTCGTCCGATGGCATATTCTCCAGCCGAGCTTTCGATTACTCACGAAGCAACACACCTAACTGTTGTAGCTCGGAGGGGGCCCTTTCACCAGTGTTTATGGTAAACATGATGAGAGAGAGCTCGTGCTCATCTGAAATGAGGATTGGACGAACGCGACGGACTCAGTGGAGTTGATCGTCACGCTCGTCGTCGCGGCGACGGAGGACGTTGCTGAAGGTGAAGCGTGGGTTGAGCGGCAGGGGGAAGTCTCAGATTGGAATGTTCCGGCGTTGGACCCGGATCCGTGCAATATTGCCTGCAGACGATGGCGATGTTTTTTTGTTCCTGCCGCTGCTCGTCCAGGTGCCGAAGGAACGACGGAAGGACAGCCAGCGGGACCAGTTAAGAGGAAGTTCGAAATGTCGTCGACTGTGGACCAACGGGGCGACCAGGAGGCCGAAGCCCTGAACGCCGGGGCGTTCAGGGCGGCAGTCAACAGGTCCAGGGCGAGCAGCGACGGCCCCAACCTGGCGGACGACGAGGCGACGCCCGATCAGCTCCAAGGCATAGCAATCAAGCTGTGTTAGATAAGCAGTGGTCCCGTACGCCGACTTCGGCGTTCTTTGGCCTTTCGGCTTCAAGCTGGAACGCGCGCTCAAGTTCCATGCCGAGCTCTGAGGCCCCGTCAAGGCGGAATTCATTTCGAAGGAATCGCCGGGGCCGTTGAGCCTGCAGGAGTGGCTCCGCGCCCGGATGGTCTACATGTTCATCCTCGTTGCCCTCGGGGCGCCATCGAGGGCACGTCTGGAGCCGCGCCGGGACACGGCGGTGGCCCTCGCGGCCAAGTGCGGCACGATGTGCGGCGAGTCCCGGCGGATCATCGTCGTGGCGGACCGACGCATGCGCAGTGAGAGGACGGAAAAGATCCAGAGCGAGCTGGCGGCGTCCGCGGCGGAAGGCAGGGATGGGGACACGATGGGTTTCGACCCGAACTCGCCGTGGGACGCAATCTTTTTCAAGTCCGCCACCGAGTCCGAGTGCTGGCAGTCGGAGGTCGCGGAGGTGGCGCCACTGTGCGCTTCGAGGGTCAAGGGGAAGGAGGAATTGGTGGACCCGGGGCACCACGTCATGGCGTCTGGAAAAGCGGGGGGGGGGAGAACGGGCGCAGCGACGGAGCCTGCGCATCGCGCCCCAACCGCCCCTGCCAGCGAGAGAGGGGCAGGAAGTTGAGCCAGTGGCTCAAGTAGTTCGGAGCGGCCGCCTGCCAGGGCAAGCGTGACAACGGGCAAGGCGAAGTGCAAGAATGCGCAGCTTGGTTTCGCGTGGAATCGCGACGCAACGGGGCGCCCGACCCCGTGCCCTGATGGCGCCCACATTCGCGACGCGGGGGATGACGGCGTGGCTGGGGCTCAAAGAGAGGGGAACAGGACACGGCGCGCGCGCCCGGGCCGACCAGCAGGCTGCCGATGTCGACGTGCTGTCGGTGAGTTCCCCGCCGGGGGGATGGCAGCTGAAAGGCGTTTGGGAGCACGTTGGCAGGCTGAGGGCCTGGGCGACGGCCCTCGGGAGGCTGGCGTCGGCGGTTTGCGCTGCGGCGCCCAGCCTGAACCGC